GAAGGCCTGATATCTGCAAGCATGGGAATCAGAGCTTAAGCGCTCCGCTCAGTGAAGCGGCAGTGTATGTACTTCTAGGGTCTTGAAAAGTAGCGCCTGGAGTGAAATGCACACAGGGACTGGACCCGAGTGAAATCGGTCAACCAGAAAGGTAAAGAACGGATCTATGGGACAATGCAAGGATACGGATTTGAGGCCCGAGTCGGATAAGCCCATTGAAAGAGAGGGGAAGGGTTAAATAGCAAGTGTGATGAGGCCACACTAGGTTTGCCACAAAATGGCATACATTTTGACGAGTGGAATGTATACAAGTCAGAAGTTGTGATAGGGCGGCAGTGGGACAAGTGTAAAGAGTAGATGTATAGACAATGACAGAAAGAGGAGTGATAGTGTAACCGTTTTCGACAGAACGCTTGTCGAGGGATTGACTTCACTTGTCTCTTTTACAAATTCGTAGCTTGGTGCGGAGAATTGCAAAGCTCACTAATGATGCTGACTACGATGCCGGCGAAACGTTTGAGAATGTACCAAGTCCATTATCAGATGCTGGGAGTCATGACAACTACTATGGGAGACAACTTCGGACTAGGTGCGTCCTACATAGTCGCCCTGACAAGAACAGGTTACGACGAGGTCAACCCACGTTTGGGAATGTACCCAGCCAATTGTCCAACGCTGGAAATCAAGAATGGAATGGCAAACAACATGGGACTAGATAGATTCCACAAGGTCTCCCTGACGCTTAGACCAAAATGCGAAAACAAAGTTGAACCAACTCTATCTAGCTAAATGAGACTGCGACAAAACAGAAACCACAACATCTTGGTCTTCATAGCTAGCATCCAAAGAATCATTGTGTTCTTGAGTAAATATAGGGATTTTATATTTAAAGATAAGGACACCTTCGGTGCTGTACCTGCAAGCTAAATTCGTAGCCTAGCTAGCCATAACTACAAGTGTTAATGCAACTGCAAAATCATGCTCCAATAAACCACTGAGAAACTTATCCTCTCACAATGAAATGTCTACGGAATATGTAGCCAGAAGCATCAAAGATCCAAAGCTACATAAGATAATATGAAGATTCCTATTTCTAATCAATCAATTAAGAAAATCGAGCCAGTAACTTTGGGGTAAAAGTATGCTTAAGGGTGATTTGGGGCTGTCCGTATATAAGACATTTATGAGTTAGTAATCAAAACCCAGAATATTGGTACAGACGAAGATCACCTTAATTAGTTCGTCCTTCAGCTTGTATATCGGAAGACTTTGGCGTTGTTCTAAAATAGATCGGACAATTTTTTTTCCAACGGCGCCGGTTCGCGTCCCTCCTTGTACAGCCTTTTTCCATTCTGGAATGTCACGGTATTGCGCCTCGGAGGCACGGGTACCAGCCATCAGGGGTTTGCTTTCATCTGAATCAATAGGAATAAAGATTAAAATGTATTCTATCCTAATAATTTGATATGGAAACCATTCGATTACCATGCCTATTTTGGTCTGTTGTGAAACAATTATAGGCATAAAACAGGAATTTAGTAATCCTATGTTGCTTAAGGTGATTTTAAAGATGGCTATGGCGTAATAGAGGACGGGAATTAAAAACTCTTATGCAACAAGATTTCAGACAGTCAAACAGTGATTTTGATGTTTAGCAGCGGGTAGGTAAAAAGGAGGCAGAATTTGGGCCAGGAGTCCTGCAAACGGCACCTGGTACAGGTGGCGGAGATGATTACGCTTCACTAAACACTTGTAGCGATATAATCTTAGGCGGCAGTGGAGGAAACGAGAGCACAGAATTGTGTAAATAAGTGGATGGGCGATATGAAGTGGGGTTTAGAGAAAGAGATACGGCACTAGAAGGTAGAATAAAAACTAGGGACGAGGAATGATGCCAGAACGGTTGAACAGAAAATTGATCAGGGGGATTGCCTTTTGCCATTTTGATAAGTTGTAACTCTGTCCTGATGATGGCACCTCTCAAATGCAATGCCGGTGAAACTTCTGGGAATGCACTAAGTCAATAGTCCGAAGCTGGAAATCACGAATCCTAAGGCAGAGGACACAGGACTAGGTAGGTACCACGAGGTCTTCCTGACGCTCCAACCAAGTTGCTAAATCAAGATCGAACCGACACAAAAGGACTGATAATTAATTTTTTCCACAATAAGATGAGTAGCCTTCACGATGTCATTGAATTTCACTTAGCCTTGCCTTCTAAACGACTATCTCATCCAGGGTGGACTGCAGTTTAACCTCGCCTATGTATCATAAGCACCCCCAGGGCAATTCGATGCAATAGCAAAAATGTATTTAATTAATATAAATTCCCATTATAAAATTTGAGGTGAGAGGCCTCACTAATCTTGATAGCCGAATCGGTCATGTGACCCTGGCACTCGTGGCCATGTAGTAGAGTATTTAACATCGTCACAACATTCATCCCAGTATCGAATCCAACTGCAGGTACTGATGAGAACTAGCCGAGGTCGAAACTGCTGTCCACTCTAGATGAAAAGAGACAAAGCCAAATGAAATTCAGTGACATTGCGAGGCCTACTCATCTCATTATGGGAGAGATTCAATTATCAGTACTTAAAATCACTGGCTGAGCGACTGAGGCTTAATGATTTTTTATTCATAAATTATTTATAGTCTCGAGACTTACTTATAATGAAGGATCCAGATACAACCCAAGCAAGGTTTATTAATATTATAAAAGAAAACGTATATGGTTAAGGACAAGCAGTATCAATTAAGCAACAAATTCAATTAAATCAAAGGACCTCGTGCCGATTCGGCCTTACTAAATAGGCTAAATATAAGATGGATAAAACCAACTGGTATTGTGTCGTGAGTATACTAGAAAAAGGTATAATAATTATGATAGGAAATTCATTTTGCTGTTCTATCGTTCATTTTGACTTTGCTGAAAGAAGTATCACATTCAAAATTACGCGGCCGATTAGAAAGGATGAATATAGGTTTGTGATATTCATCACACCAAAAATCTAACTAAAACAATTTACATCCAAAGTCAAGTAGATCAGATAAAGCGTTCTAGATTTCTTAACAGCACAATTCAGCTGAAGGATTTTATCGTTCAAGAGTGGATGTGAAATTATTTCGAG